GCCTTGCCCTCCTGAACATAAGTTAATGAGAGGGCATTTACTAAGTACCTTCTGTGTACTAAGCACTGTCCTAGGTGCACTGGGGGTGCATGTACAAGAGTGAGACAAGGCCTGCCCTCTGAGAGCTTATATTCTAAAAGGAGGAGACAATATATATCAGGGGAGTGATGGCCAGGGAGGGGAGGGTGTTTGTCTGGGAAATACCAGGGATGGGGGTTGGGGCCCTTTCCAGAAATAAAGGAAGTGTTGATCGGATTACCGATGGTCCAGCAAGATGGGGGCCTATGCCTGAGGGAGTGGCTGGAATGGCTGCCCCAGAGAGGAAGGCGAGGTGTCTGGAGGGCTGGGCTGAGGGTGCAGGTGCAGATGGGGCAGATGTGCCAGTCTGGACCATCCCTACTACTGAGGGATTTAGGATGCATGTAGGTTCCTCCCACACAGTGATGCTGAAGGTTTGTGGGGGGCAGGCTGACAAAAGGAGGTTGGGTGGGGGTGGCACCCTGTAAAGCTGTCAGCCACCTAGTTCCCCTTTCTGAACCTGTAGTAAGTTGGGGGGGGGGCTGGCTTAGGTTTTTAAGGCCCCTTCCTGCCCACAGGTGAAACTCTGTGACTTTGGATTTGCCCGCATAATCGGGGAGAAGTCTTTCCGCCGCTCGGTCGTGGGGACCCCTGCATATCTGGCGCCAGAGGTGTTGCTGAATCAGGGCTACAACCGCTCCCTGGACATGTGGTCTGTGGGTGTGATCATGTACGTCAGCCTCAGCGGCACGTTCCCCTTTAATGAGGACGAGGACATTAATGACCAGATCCAGAATGCGGCCTTCATGTACCCAGCCAGCCCCTGGAGCCACATCTCTGCTGGAGGTACCCCATTGGGACCAGGGGGCAGGAGGAGGAGAGGCTTGAGCTGAAGGGTGAAGGCCAGGGGCCTGATGCTAACCGGCTTCGTGGCCTCTGTCCAGTCAGTACTGAACCTCCCACACTGGAGGCACTAAATCCACGCAAAAGCTCAACATCCCTCCTTCCTTAATTGTTGTGATATGAGGAGGAAAGGAAAGTGCCTTGGGAGCAGGTCTTAGAATCTACCCGACCTGGGTTCAAACCCTGCCTCGGACAAAGCCCCCAGGAATCCTTCTGAGACTTGAAGGTGCATCTGTGTAGAGGCAGAGAGAGGTAGCTGGCGTCTCCTCATTCAGATGAACCCAGGTCCAGACCAGAAATGATAGGTCACTGGCCTCACGGAGTCCCGAGGCCACAGAGAAAGAGATGACCAATACCCAGTGTTGCATCTTAGGGATGCCAACTAGGTAGCTACTGAGAGGCCCGAGGGGATGGGAATGAATGCATTCGTGAATGAATGAGGCCAGGCGGGGAGGAATTGAAGGCCCCGGGGTTTGGCTGGTCCGGGGAGGGAGGCTTCCACTCTGGGGCTCTCCTTGAGTGGCTGGACGGTCCCCCCACATCCTTTTCCCACACCCACAGCCATAGACCTGATCAACAACCTGCTGCAGGTGAAGATGCGAAAGCGCTACAGTGTAGACAAGTCGCTCAGCCACCCCTGGCTCCAGGTGAGCGGTGGCACCGGCCCCTGGCCCAGGAGTAGATGTGCACCCCTCTGCCATTGGCCGAGTGGGCGATAAGGGCGGGAACTTTCCGATCCTATTGGTGGTGGGACTTGTGGGTGGTCCCCTCCCTGGTTAACTCTTCCCCTCCCAGGACTACCAGACTTGGCTGGACCTGCGGGAGCTCGAGGGCAAGATGGGGGAGCGGCACATCACCCACGAGAGTGACGATGCCCGCTGGGAGCAGTTCGCTGCCGAACACACGCTGCCTTACCCGACACACCTGCGCGGGACAGGAGAGGGCGGGGAGCCCGGAGACGGAGACGGGGTCGGGGGCCTGGGGAGGGTCGCGCAGCCCTTCTCGCCTCAGGACCACGAGATGCAGGGCCTGGCCGAGCGGGTCAGTGTCCTCTGAGGCTGCTTGGGAAGCAGGATCTCCAAGCGCCTCTGGTGGAAGGAGCCTCCAACTCCTGTCCCCCCACCCCCAACCCCCTCCCTTGAGCGGAGCGGAGGCGGAGTGAGAGATGACCAGGAGCAGCCCCGGGCTGTACCCTTCCCGCCCCGCCCCTGCATGCCCCTCCCTTGAGCACCTACCCCTGGAACAGTAAAGGGACCTTGTCTTTCAGCCCTCCCCTTTGTCCGACGGTCTGTCTGACTGTCCCTGCCTTCCCTTTCCCCCCATCATAAGGACTCTGGGGCTCCCGATGGATGCTACAGCAAGAGGTGATGGGGGCAGGATGTGGGGGCCCAGGGCCCCTGGGGGATGGGGGAGGGGACTTCCAAGGTCCGTTCCTGCTCTCCATCCTGTGAAGTCCTGCGGAGAGGGGAAGTGTGCGGCAGCCACGCAGCTGGACCACCAGGGGGAGTCAAGACCCCTCCTTTCAAAAAGATGTGACTGGAGAAACAGTGCTCAGCCTATTGAGGTGGGAGGAAGGGACCCTGGAAAGATCATGCCGTGTTTCTGAATTCTACCTGAGACTCTCAAGATCATTGGAAGGAAGGACCCTTAGAACTGGGAATGTCAGAGCTAGGAGGGTCCTCAGAATAGGGAAGGTCTGAGCTGGGAGGGCCCTAGAACAGGGAAGGTCAGTGCTGGGAGGGACCTTAGAACAGGGAATGTTGGAGTTGGGAGGGCCCTTAGAACAGGGAGTGTCAGGGCTGGGAGGGACCTTAGAACAGGGAATGTCAGAGCTGGGAGGGCCCTTAGAACAGGGAATGTCAGGGCTGGGAAAGGCCTTAGAACAGGGAATGTCAGAGCTGGAACAGACCTTAAAAGGCCATCTAGGTAGAGATATGGGGGTCTAGATGGGAAGGCATGGGGCAGGAGATTCCTTCCTGACCTTGTCACTGTACCAGACTGAAGGTACCAAAAAACAAAACAACAAACCAATTCAATTTGCCTGGACTGTGTAATTTCTGAGATGTATGGGACTTTGGAGGCCAATAAGTCCAGTTCTCTCATTTTATAAATAAGGAAACAGTCTTGGACAATATCGCAGTCCACGTCAGAGACAGGACAAAGGCTCAGATTCTTGTCTCCTTTACAATCTTTATGGCCAGAGCAGAGCCAGGCCAATGACCTCTGGGCAATTCTCCTCCAGCCAAGCTTGAAGACCACTATCACCGCCTGTGGCAATCCATCCTGTTTTTAGGCGGCTCTGACAGAAAGATTTTTCTGACCTGGAGACAAAAATCTGCTTTACGCTACTCTCCCTTGCCCCTCCTCTCTGGAATTAAACAGGAAAAGTTCAGTCCAGTAGACAAAGAGTCCTAGACCCTGGAGTCAGGAAGACCCAAGTTCAAATCCAGCTTTGGAAACTTACTAGCTGTGTGACCAGGGGTAAGTCACTTTGCTGCTGCCTGCCTCAGTTTCCTCAGCTGTAAAATGGGGATAGGAGTAGCACCTACCTCCCAGGGGTGTTGTGAAGATCAAATGACATGTTTATGAAGTGCTTTGCAAATCTTAAGAGCACTGTATCAGTGCCAGCTATGGGCTGTTGGCCTGACTAACCCCTCTTCCGAGTGACAGCCCTGCAAATACTCCAGTTCAGATCGACAAGCATGAAGCACCTACTACATGCACTTAGACTAGAGAACTGACTTTGGGGAGCCTTCAGCCCAGCCTCTGAGTGGACACATGCTAGGCGTGGATCCCTGGGCTCCATCCCAGCTTGGTGCAGATGTGTGTTGGGAGGGGGATTTCCCCCCCCCCGGGAGTTCCTCGGCGCTATCTCCTACCCTGGAGGATACAAAGACAAATTAGGCCCTGCCCTCGAGGAGCTTACACTCTCTGGGACTCCTGACCATGCCTCAAGTCCCTTCTAAGTCTTCTCCTGGGAGACATCCTCAGTCCCTTCAGAGGATACTCCCACGGTCCTCAGTCCACAACCTCCTGATCCCTCTCCACCATGCGCTGCCGTCTTTTGGCTCCTTCCGGCTCCATCCCGTGCATAATCAGAGCCTGGCCCAAGCTGGAAAGGAGCGTGGCTGGAGCCAGATTGTGAATGCTGCTGGAGGAATCACGGAAGCCTTCCTGGAGGAGGTAGAGCTTTAGAGCACCGGCAGGATGGGGTGGGGGCGGGGGCGGAGAGAATGGAGGATTTGGGGAGGGGAGGAAGAGGAGGAGGATAAAGGGCGATCCGCCCTCCTTCCCTAACCGTCACCCGATTGGATGAGCTAAGAGAAAGGGCGCTCGGCCCTCTCTTTTACTCCCGCCCAACTTTCTCTAATTATAATATTCAAGTTCTCAGAGGCCAGTCTATTGATGCCCGCCCCACCCTTCCCGCAGATAGACGAATCAGCGGGTGCCGTGAAGCGAGGGGCCTTGAGCAGCAAATCACAGGAAAAAAAAGGGAGGATGGGGGGGTGGGAGGTGGGGGGTGGGACTACGCCGTTGAAGGACAGGGCGGCGTGGCGAATCCGGGAGGGTCGAATGGCGCGGGGTAGGCAGAATGAGACCGGGCAGGGAGGAGAAGGCGGGCTTATGCAGACATAGGAAATCTCACCAATGGCCGGCAGCCCCCGAGGGCAGTGACGGGGATGGGGTGGGGTGGAGGGCGTGGCTATGCTGCTAATTAGGGCTTCGAACCCGAAGGCCCACCAATGTTCCGACCGCGGGGGTCTGGGGGACGGGAGGCGTGGTCTATGCAGATCTTCACCGTTCAGACCCCGGAGGCCCACCAATGGCCCTGCCGTTGGGGGAGCCGAGGGGCGTGGCTCAACGGCTAACCACCAATGGGCAAGCCCACTGGCAGCGCCTAGGGGGCGGGGCGATGCAGATCAGCCTCGGCTCCGCAGCCCAATGGGCTGCGGCCTATGCAGATGAGACGGTGACAGCCGGGCCGGACCGGCGGGCGGGCGCGAGGCCGGCGGGGCGCTGGGGGCCCCCAGGGAAGCCGGGAGCGGGGGCCGAGGCCCGGCGGAGGGGACGACGCGGCCATGATCCGGGCCTTCTCGTTCCCCGTGAGCCCGGAGCGGGGCCGGCTGCGGGGCTGGCTGGAGGGCAGCCTGGCCGGCCTCTGCGAGCTGCACTGGCTGCGGGAGCGCCAGGAGTTCCGCGTGCGCCAGGCGCTCCGGCTCGGTCAGCCGCTGGCCACGGGCGCGGGGCCCGGCGAGGCGGCCGACGACGGCCGGGACCAGGAGGACGAGGCCCTGGGCGACGACGATGGCGAGGAGGACGACGACGAGGCGGCGGCGCGCCGGGCCGCGGCCGCGCTGGAGGAGCAGCTGGTGAGTGCGGGGAGGGCGCTTGGAGATCCCCCCGTGGGGTCCGGCCCCTCCCAGCCCCCCGCCCTCGTGTCCTCTTCGTCCTCCTCCCTCGCAGGGCCTGGGCGACATTCCGGCCCGACCCTCGGCCCCAGCCATCCTGCGGCGGATCTCGTGCCCTGCGAGCCCTCCCCTCTGGGATCACGGCCCCCTACTCTCCCACTCCTGCGTGGACCTCCCACCCCTGTCCTTGTGCATCTCAGCCCCTTCCCTCTGCCCTGGCCACGGATCCGTTAGAAGGGACTGGAGGGGGAGGGGGAGTCGGAGCCGCAGGGGGTGGACCTCCCCCTCGGTCCCCAATCGTTGGGGAGCTGAGGTTGGGGGTCCCCTCTCCGCTTTGGCAGGCCTGGGAGGGGGCTCAGCGTTGAGAACTGTTGGGAGGACTTGAGGCACATCCCTCATCCCCAGGTCTCATTCTGGGGTCCGCGTCTCCACTCTCTTTCTTACGCTGCTCTCCTGCTCGAGGTCTTGGCGATCTCACAGGAGGAGAGGGCCAGAGCCCAGGCGGTCACCTGGACGCTGTAAGCCTCGTGCAGCGTGCTTGGGGCCCTCCTCCCTCCCTGTCGCGACTTGAGCTTAGTCTAAGGGCTCCCAGACCCGGGGTAGCGGGATGAGCCTGCAAGGGATGCGAAGGTCAACTGGGGAGGGGGGCGGGGCATTGTCTCTCCCTCTCTATCCCTCAGGCTCCCCTTTCTTGGTCTCTCCGTTTATCATTTGGTTTTAACTTCTTAAATGCGTCCCCTTTTGAGCATCCAGATCTCTCTCCTTCCAGGCCTGGCCCCCGGACCCCCAATCCCGTGTCATTCCCTCCAGGCCCTAATTTCCCTGTCCTGATGCTCTCTGGTCGATTTTCCTCCGGTTCAGCCCAGCCCTGGCCTTCGGTTGGGGGAGGAAATGCTAGCCCCTATTTTTTAGGGGGAAGAGGTGGGCTTTAACTCATGAGGGGGGATGGGGGAGAACAGGCCTAGGGCTTTGCAGACCTCCTTCACACTCTCCCCCCCCTTTCCCCCCCGGGAGGGCCTGGCCACATTCCTCTCTCCAAGCAGAAACAGCTGTGGGAGGCCCCGCCTCTCCTGGCCTCCGCCTCGGCCCTTCTCCAGGAGAAGAGAGAACCACTGGGATGGGGATGAGGGTGGAAACGGGGAGGGGGTAGAGAGGAGAGGGACTTATGCGGTGGGGGTGTTAGTACCCAGGCTAGCCGTGAACTTGCACTGGGGGGTTGGGGAAGCCTGGTGGCCGAGGAAGCTGGCGGAGGGATAGATGATTCCCCCTATCCCCACGTCTCTATGTGTCTCTGTGGCTCCCTCTCATTATGCCTCCATCCTTCCCCATCCCCATGTTTCTCTGGCTCTGCCTTGTGCCTCCCAATATCCGGCGGGGGGGGGGGGAGAAGGCTTTCTCACCGCGGGTGGGCGCGAGGAGAGCTGGGCGCCCTGGGGAGTCTCAGAGGAGAGGGTTCTTTCACCCGCTTGGGGTCAGGAATCCTGAGGGGGGGGCCGGGAAGGTGGGAGAGGCCGCCCCAGTCAGAGCTGTCTCCAGGCAGAGCAGAAGGGGGGGCGGGGGGAGGGGAGGAGGAGGAGGGAGGGAGAGACAGCCTGGGCTGGAGGAGGAAGGCTAAATATACTCACTGAGGGGAGGGTGAGGAGGGGATAGTGGGGGAAACCCATCTTCCAGCCCGAGCCCCGCATACACAATGTACCCACATGAGGAACTGGTCTCTCCTAGCTCCGAAGCAGGAAGGACCAAAGTTAGTCTTGGACTCTGTAGTGAGGATGAAGGGCCACCGAGGCCACTCTAGAAGAGGAATGGAGTGCAGTGGGGAAAATCAGTCTATATCTGAATCTCTACTCTATTCGAATCTTACTCTCTGTGTAACCTCGGGTCTCAGTTTCCCCCTCTGTGAAAGGAAGGGTTGAACTAAATGAGCTGGGAGCTCTAAGTGTTATGAAATCCTGGATCTCTCGCCAGTGTTCTCTGGCATCTGGCCCTGAAGGAGCTGAAGGCAGGGTTGGGGAGGAGAGGTGGGGAGAGTCTCCTCCTGGGCCCCCTTCTCTTTGCCCTAAATAGGGAAGAATCTGGTGAAGCCCTGCCCCTTGCCCCTCCTCTCCTCCCAGCTCCTGGACCAGGGAGGCCAATCTTCCCTTCTTTCTGCCCTAACACCCAGACAGGAAGCTTTTGTTTGAGGGTCAGGAATCATAGTGGAGGGACCAGGGACTGGCAATGCTCACACCTGGTTTCTAATCTGAACTTTGGATATAGACCCTGCGTGGGTGAAGGCGTGACCTTCTCCCACTCTGGCCTCGGTTTCCCCAACTGTAAAAGGAGGGCATTGGAGAAAGTGATCTTTTGACCTGCACTTTAGCTTTTAAATTTTATTTTTCAATGAGCAAGCGTGTATTTTATTTCTCTTATCCACCCTCAATTTAAAAGGAAAAAGAAAGAAAAAACCCAAAACCCTTATAACAAGTACAAGATCAAGAAGAAAAAATTCCCACATTATGTCCAAAAAATATGCCATTCTACATCTTGAATCCATCATCTCTGTCAGGAATCCTTTGGCATTATAATTGGTCATTGCCTTGATCAGAGAGCTGTGTCTTTCAAAAGGCTTGGTCACTGTATAAATCATCCTTGCAGCTCTCATCAGGTCACTCAGCATCAGTCCAGAAAGTCTTCCCAGGTTTCTCTGAATCCATCTCTTCTGTTATTTCTTATGTCAGTCAGTTGAGAAACATTTATTAAACATCTACGATTTGCTAACCTCTGGCAAAGAAAGGCAAGAGACAGTCCTGCCCTCCAGGACCTCCATCTAACTAGGGAGACAGAGTGCTAAAAGTGGCACAGAAGCATTCTATTGCGTTCATAGTGCAATTTTCTCAGCCATTCCCCAACTGATGGGCACCCCACCTGGTTGCCAGTTCTTCCCTGCCACAAGAAAGCAGTCATTAATGTTTTTGTGCCTCTGGATCCTATCTCTTTCTTCAATTTTGTCTGCCTTTTAGCTTCAACATTATCTTATTCCAAGGTAATTACAGCTCTGAGTGTGAGAACCTAGTTTTAAGTTTCTGTGGATGTAAACATCCACTATTCTAAGTTTCTAAGTGAAAGATTTAGTGGGCATAAAGTTCTACAAACGTTGACCTACATCCCCTGAGCTCTGGCTTTAGAATCATGGAGAATTATAGGGGAGAAAAATCACTTACTGACTCACTTTACCCCACCCAGTTTCCTCTGGGGAATCTCAAAATATAATTCCCAACACAGCTTTTGTCTGAGTCTCCACAGCGGTAGGTAAAAGTCCTCCACTTCTATGAAAGCAGCAAAGGTAACTGCATATATCAACATATAGAACAGTCTTTATTTTTCCCTACAGAAAACATAGAAAAGTTTCGTAGTAGTGCATGGCCCATTCTCCTCTGCTGAGTCCCTGTCTCTCCTCCCAGGGTTCTAGACAGTTCCCTAGACTCCTGGTACCCCCATGGTACCACGATTTGGATTCCCATCACAAAAAAAAAACAACAAAATTGGGGCTTCTCACAAGGCATCCCCTCGACAACTAGTGAGTCTAATTCTGCTGAGGGTCACCTTCAGGCCCCCTGCCTTATTTTATTATCCTAAGGGACTGAACTTGCCCAAGAAGAAATACAAACTTGGTTTAGCTAGACAGGCAAGCTTCTAACATTCCACTGAGCTCAGCTCTCACCCATGCTGGTATCCAGCTTTGTAGCACTACCTTTAGGACCTCTCACTGCAAGGAAAGAAATTTTGGGTGGCTAAAGAGGCAACCCCCTTTCCATTGAACCTGTGCCACCTGAATAACTCACCAAAATTGCTTAGGAAAAAGTCCAGGTATTCTCTCCCCATGTTGTGTTTTTACTCCTTTTCAGCTTTCTGTTCCTCTAGCCGTGTGTGTGTGTTGTGTGTGTGTGTGTGTGTGTGTGTGTGTGTGTGTGTGTGTGTTGGGGAGGACACCATCCTTTTCTCCCCAATGGGCCGGTAGTGCTCAGGTCCAATAGAGGAAGGGCTTCATAGAAACCTGGATGAAGTACACAGCACATAGACTGAGGGACAGATAGCTAGTGGGGGGAAGGTGGGGCTTTCCCATCTTTCTCTAGAAGGCTGGGTCTCTGAATTCTTTAAGCACTCAAGGAAATCCCCATTGTTCTGTCCAGGAATTTAGGGTCAGGAACTCCCCTTCTTGGGTCTTGGCCCAATGGGGTGGAGAACCTGTGTCCTCGAGGTCACAGGTGGCCCTCTAGGTCCTCAAGTACAGCCCTTTGATTGAATCCAAACTTCACAGAACAATTTGTTAGGATTCGGCCAAAGGGCCCCACTTGAGGACCTAGAGGGCCACAAGTGGCCTCAAGGATGCAGGTTCCCCACCTCTGGTGGGGAGGGACAGTACCTGCACTCTCCATGTTCCTCTGTCTCAAGGCAGCCACTGGTAGTCATACTAAAAGTTAGCATCTGTATGGCACCTACAATCTGCCAAATACTTGCAAATGTTATTTCATTTGATTCTCACAACAACCCTGGGTGGTAGCTGCTATTATTATCCCCATTTTACAGTTGAGGAAACAGAGACAGAGAGAGGTGAAGTGATTTGCCCAGGGTCACACAGCTAGTAAGTGTCAGAGGTTGGACTTGAAGTTGGGTCTTCTGACTCCAGGCTCAGTGGTCAATCCACTGCAACACTCAGCTGCATCCCTGGAAATCCAGTTAAGAGGCTCTGGCTTTCTGGTCAGTTAAGGTCTCTCAGGATTTTGCAGATAAAAAGCCATCTCTGCAGCTGATACTCCTTCCTGTCCCCCTCCCCTCCTGCTGGACACCTTTCTCTTGACCCAGCACAATAACTCTAGGCCAATCAGTTCATGTTCAGTGCATGAGTCTTGGTCATTCATCCTCAGTGAGGTAGGCAAAGGTGGACCTGTAACAGAACCCAGGCTTTGTCCCTTGTGTCCTTCCCCCTCCCAAAAGGGTATCTGCAGGGTATCCCAAAAGTCTGAGTGCAGTTTCTGGAAATCAAGGCTGAGCTTTGCCTCCCTTCTGCATTCAGGAGGGGATGTCAGAATACCTGCTGAAGTCCTATTGGCCCTTAAAAGCCAGGTTCAAACTCCGCTTCCAATCCCCTGGATCCCCCTTTCTCACCGACCTCATATTTTGTATTGCTACTGTCAATGGCTGATGTTGACAAGATGCTTCGGGGCTGGCAAAGGCATTCACAAACATCTTAGCAGATTTGTCATAGCCCCTTAGTAGATTGCAAGCCTCCTGAGGATAGGGACCAGAGCTTTAGAATAGGAAGGGACTGCTAAAGCCATTGAGACCAACCTCCTCCTTCTTTACAAAGGGGGAAACTGAGGCCAGTGGAGGCGAAGTGACAGGATCATAGCTGTAGAGTTGGGAGCAACTTTGGGGGCCTTGTAGTCCAGGGGTGGGGAACCTGTGGCCTGGAGGCCACGTGTGGCCCTCTAAGTCCTCAAGTGTGGCCCTTTAACTGACTCCAAACTTCACAGAAGAAATTCCCTTAATAAAAGGATTTGTTCTGTAAAACTTGGACTCAGTCAAAAGACCACACCCGAGGACCTAGAGGGCCACGTGTGGCCTCCAGGCCACAGGTTCCCCACCCCTGATCTAGTCCAATTCCCTTCATTTAAGGAACTGAAGCTCTGAGGGGCTGAGGGATTCGTCAGAGCTCACATAGCTAGTAAGCAGGAGTTGAACCAAGCCCGCTTACTCCTAATCCGGAGCCTACACCACTGGAAATTATATCAACTTTGCAGCTTCCCAAGCCACAGTAACCTCTCGATAAGGGGTTGTTGATTGAGCTGAGTTGAAAATTCCTATCTCAATCCCAACGGAAGACAAGGATTGGAAAGGGTAGTTGTTTCCCAAAGCAAATTAGAGAAAGTTTACTCACTTTCAGTCTTTCCCCTCCCCTCCAGGAATGGATTAAGGTAGAAGGAGCCTTAGGGCATGCCCTCCAGTGTCATGATCTGGGTAGATTGGGAACTCCTGGTGAGAAAACTCTCCCCACAGAGATTTCAAACTAGTCTAGCACAGAGGAGTATAGAGACTTATCCAAGGTCAAACAAGCCGAAGAAAGGACTCAGACTCTTTTTTTTTTTTTTTTTTTTTTCGTCTAGACAATGGGGTTAAGTGATTTGCCCAAGGTCACACGCTAGTAAGTGTCAAGTGTCTGATCTGAGAGCGAATTTGAACTCAGATCCTCCTGACTCCAGGGCCTGTGCTCTATCCACTGTGTCACCTAGCTGCCCCAGGACTCAGATTCTTCCTGGCTCCAGGCCAACCTCTATCCAAGTCAATTTAATCATCATTCATTAAGCACTTACTGTGTGCCAGGCACTGTCCAGGGTGCTGAGAACAGAAAGACAAAACTAAATTTGCTGCCCTCAAGAGGCTTGCGTTCTACTCAGGGAGAAACAAGTGAACAGACAAGTAAATGCAAAATGAATACATAGTGTGGAGGGTCTATTAGCAACTTTGGGAACATGAGCTGAGCCTTGAAGGGAGCTTAGGATTCCCAGAGGGAGGTGAGCAGGAAGAGCATTCCAGCCTGATAGAAAGAAACCCTGCTCAAAGGCATGGGGATGAGAGGTGGGATGTCCTGTATTGGGGCACAGCTAGAGGGTCACTTTGGCTGGAGTGCGCATCGTGATGGGAATAATGGCTAGTCAGCCTGGAAACGTAGCCCAGAGGAAACTGCAGAAGAGACATTGCTATTTTATTCCGAAGGCAAAAGGAGTCACGGACTCTTCTAGACCAGGGCAGCAGCCTGGTCAAAGTTTGCAAAGGTGCCTCCTGCTTTGAGTGGAAGGTCCCCAAACTCCAAGGCTGCTTCGGCTGAAGCTTCCATCTTCTGAAGGTTGCAGAGGGTTCTGACCTCAGCTCCCCCAAGGAGTCTCTGGTCCCTTATTCCCGGTGCTCTTTGTAGGGGACTCGAGGCCCTGTGTTTCAGGGAAAGAGTGCACCTGTCTGCAAGAGTGTCTTTTCCTGGGCTCTTCCTCTTCCCTTCCCCTCACACCCATTGTTGTTCCAGGAGGCCCTGCCTGGGTTGATGTGGGAACTGGGTCAACATCTGGGAGAGCTGAGCTTGGATGCTGAAGGCCTGGAGGAAGATGTTGGTTTGAGCTCAGGTGAGAGGAAACCCAGCAACCTCAACCTAAGAGGCCCCAACCTACCTTCCCTCTTTTTGTCTCTCCCCCATCCCTCTTTCTGTTCTTTCAGTCTCTGCCTTCTGTACCTCATGCAGGTTTCTATGAAGGCCCTTCCCCTACTGGTCCAGACTCCCCTCCTTCAACGTTTGGAGCTGACAGTGGTTTCTCTGGCTCCGGTTCCTACAGCCGCCTAGGCCCCTCTGAGCCCCGGGGAGTGTTTGCCAGCAAGAGGCCCAAGTCTCTGGGTAAGAAGGCCAGGAAAGGGACACTTGGCTAAGCTGGAGGTGGAAGGAAGGTGGCCTGGGAAAGGGCCATTGATTCATGGAATGTCATAGCTAGAAGGGAACTGTGCTGAGAGCATCAGAAGGAAGTGTGTGCATATGTGTATGTGGAGGTATCTATATGTGCTGTGGTGTGGGTGTATGTATGTATGTATGTATGTATGTGGGTGTGGTGTGGGTGCATGTGTATGATGTGTGTGGGTGTATATGTGTGTGGTGTATGTATGTGAATGTGTGGTGTGGTGAGGTATGTGTATATGAGGGTATCTATGTGCTGTGGTGTGGGTGCATGTGTGTAGTATGCGCAGATGTATATATGTCTGGTGTTTATGTGTGTGGTGTGTGTGT